AGCAATGACACCAACTCGAACTAGTGAAGGTATACAACCTTCACTCTCGATTACCTGTACGTTACCAACGTAAGAGAAACATTCAAACAGAAGGGGTGAGATATCTAACAATATAATAAAGCGTATAATAATTAATATATTAAATTAGATCACATAACATCACCACTTCTCATCTCATAATCAACAACAATTACAACAATAATACACATTCACAACATCAATACACACTTCTTTATGCAGTCATATAATGCGACTCAATACTATGCAAATGCATGTGGTACCATTGGAGCAGAACTCTCATCTCAAAAATTGCCTATTAATAGAGGCATCAACAAGGCATAAGCCTCCATCTCAATATTCGCCAATACAGGCCATCTCAACGAGCATAAGCTCCATCTCAAAATGCAATGTATGCGACACAATCATGAATGTAATAACAACACCATAATTAACAACATCTCAGTACAACATCTTCGTTGGCCAAAGGCCTACATCTTAAAAGCATCTCAACATCATTTATCATCATAAATCACCAAACATCATTTATACATCATAATTCATCAAAACAACTCTCAAATTCATCAATACACATTAACTCATCAATTTCCAGTAACTCATCAATTTCACAACGTTGGCCATAGGCCTATACAAGATATTACCTATAATTAGTTACTCAACTAAGGCTTACTTCTAAATCACCAAATCTCTACATACTACTATTCTGTAATATTACATCATTATTATCATTAATCCTACTGTTACAAACCAGACAGTACTCTACAAACGTCTCATCCTCATCCTTCTTCACAAAAACCAACATAACGATCAACACGGGAACTAATTCAAATCCTATGGTTATCCTTCTTATTCTTCAGTTTAATCAATAAGAATGAAGCTCATCGCGTTAGCTATTCAACGCTTCGAATGGCACCTCAAATGGAATCCAAAAACTCAAGTTATAACCTTCTCAAACTGATTCTTCCAAAAACCAGACGACATGGATCGACGCATAACGTCTTGGATCGACGCGTACTGCACTGAATTCGCAACATGAGTCGACGCATCCTCTCTTGTATCGACTCATACTGAGTCTACCACACAGCATGTATCGAAACATGCTCCTTCGTATCGACTCATCCTGAGTCTAAAGGTCCTCATGTATCGATACAAGACCTCTTCGTGTCGACTCATCCTGAGTCTAACATCGTTCACGTATCGACACATACCATTTGGGGTCGACGCATACTGCTCTGTCATGGGTAATTTCTGCGATTTTCTCTACGTTTTCACTACGGCTTCCATACTTTAAGCCCTAAAAGCATAATCTAATCATATATAATCATCACTTACAGTTATCCTATAATTCTACATCAAATAAACAACATCGGGACATCATCATTCATCTTTCAATCATCAATTCTCATCATACAACAACATATACATTCAATTCATGAACAAGACAACAATCACCTCTAACTCCATATACCAATTATCATGAACCCAATTATAGAGTCAGAACCCCACCCTTACCTTGAATCGAAGATCGCTCTACAATTTTCTCCAATAGAATTCCCGTTCTGCCGTTCTTCCTTTTTTCCAACAGCTTCACGTTCTTCCTCTCAAACCCTTATTCTTCTAATGCTTCTTCTTTCTATTCTTTCTAACAATAACAAAATAACCTATTTATCTCTTTATGCCTTAATGGGCTCAAAACTAATACACCTCCTTCATTACTTCTATTCCTTTAAAACAAGCCCACATTAAATAATATTATACTTCTAATATTACTTCACCACTTAATAAAATAATTAAATCCAATTAATCACAACACATCTTCACAAATATTTCAAAAATAATTTAATTAAATAATTAATTAAATTACGGGCGTTACATGGTGCGCATTAAAGGTGTGAATTCCCAAGACTAACGCTTATTTATATGATCGTTTGATAAATCATTTTAACGGTTGAGATTTAGTGTAAGATATTTAAACATACACCTGATGTCAAGAGATCATGACTAATATATATATATATATATATATATATATATATATATATATATATATATATATATATATATATATATATATATATATATATATATATATATATATATATATATATATATATATATATATATATATATATATATATATATATATATATATATATATATATATATATATTAGAGAAACAATTTCACCTCAGTTGAAAAACATAACTGAGGTTAAAACTGGCTTATTTTTTATTTTAAAAAAATACATGAAATTCCACTTTTAATGAAATAGAAACATAAACTGAAGATGTTGAAATTCGGGGCATGTATCCTAAATTAGTTTATCCCTCTATTTTTAACTAAATCTAACGAAATAGATTGTATAATTTTAAAAGAAAAAAAGCATGGCGTGTCCAGGAATTATACCTCAGTTTTTTATTACATGAGATGAAATCGTTGTCATGAAATATATTATTTATAGTAGTGATAGAAGTTCTTAAACATCATATGGTGGCTTCGTTGCAGCCTCATCCTGCGAGTAGGGCATATGTGAAAATATTCCAATATTTGTATGAATACTTGAACGAGAAGCCTTCTTTGACTATTTTCTTCCGTCTTTTTTGAGTTCACCATAGCCTCGTGACTCATGCCTCACCTTGACTTGCAAGAGTAGCGGAAGAACAAACAGTCATAGATGAAGATATGACAAACCCTTGCAGTGCCATGCAAATACAAGGGCTTGAGGGAAAACTGTTTTGGACAGACCATAAGGATGCAATTTATCTAGAACCTTCTCAGTAGATGAGGGTTATCCTACATATAAATACATGTGATCTAAGTCCCAGATACATCTAACGACTTTCCACATTGCACGCCTAACAAATAGCTAATTGTTATGACATCCCCTTATAAATAGAAAGCACTCTAGTTTAAGCTAGATAATTTCGAATTCAATTTAAATTCACTCATATCCTTCACATCCTGACTTAATTATTGAAGTGCTAACCTTGCACGTCAATTTCCTCTCCACCATGTGAAACACTCAAATCCAATATATATATATATATATATATATATATATATATATATATATATATATATATATATATATATATATATATATATATATATAGAGAGAGAGAGAGAGAGAGAGAGAGAGAGATAATGACAATGTAATTAATTTTACATTATCAACCAATCACAACTTTGTATTAGAATAAATCACACATTAATTTTAAAATTCATTTAATGACAGGCACATTGTTAGTTTTCTATTGGATGATAATGTAAAATAATTTTATATTGCAGGTGCATATAAATTAAATTCATATTTATATATATATATATATATATATATATATATATATATATATATATATATATATATATATATATATATATATATATATATATATATATATATATATATATATATATATATATATATATATATATATATATATATATATATATATATATATACTCAGAAGTGTGGTTATTTAGTGTCTAAAAACATAACTAGTAGAAGACTCGTGCGTTCCCACGGATAAATTCATTCATATATTAGATCATTCAATAAGTCTTGGTTGTTGCTAATATAATTGTTATTATAAAATTACTAATAATTGAAAGTATTTAAAAATAAATATGTAATAAATCACGTACATGATAAATCTAATATGTCTAATAACTATTAATATTTACAAATATCACTAATAATTATAAATATTTACAAATATTTTGTTGATTAAAATAAATAAGGTATTATGATAATAGGGACTCGTGAAAATAGTGAATTTTAGTAATAAAATTCACATAAGAAATGTTTTATGGTGATAGTAATCCGTAAAAATAGTGAATTGTTGTGATAAAATTTATAGGTGTTGATAAAGTTTATAAATATCACTCTCATTTATATTTTAAATCATTAGATAAAAATGTGTTTACAATACAAAATAAAATTTGAGTTGGATAACAAATTACAAAGGGACTGAATAAAAATTATGCTGGATAGTAAATTACAGAGGGACTGAATAATTTCTTTTTGTAACTGAAATTAATTTTACATTGTTGTTGATGTTTCACGCGAAGTGAGGTTGATAAAGTAGAAAATAATAGTACAAAGGTTTATATTTTGCAGGATATTATAGTGTGGATGGAAAGCAAACTTTCAAAGGATACTAATATAATAATATACATAGGTTGAAAAGGTGTATTTTCTGCTGCTATATTTTATAATCGATTTTCCATGCAAAAAAAAAAAAAACTGCCTCATAAGCAGGGAAGAAATATAGATATAGGATTAAAACTGTGATAGATCTTATATCTTTAATATCAATTTCTAAAGCTTTGAAATAAAGAGAAATACATGCAGACATTCGTCTTCATCTTTACTTTCCATTTAAAGTGATAGTATCATCAACGGAAAGGGGCGATGCTTAGTGTTAATTTAAAATGTAATAAAAAAGGTATATTAGAGTGTTTGGTAGCATATTCTATTATTAGTTAGATAGTTAATATATTTAAAATGTTTGTTGTACCTGATTTCAATTTTGTTGACAAATTTATATACCTGAACCTTTTTTTTAAAGGATTTCGTACACCTAATATTCAATTCATTTCAACCTCCTCCAATAGATCTACTCGTAGACCATATAATCTTACGCCATCGTATATATATAGAATAAAAAATAAAAAATTACAAATCAAATTTTTGTTTTCTTTTTAATCTACCAAATCTGCAAAAACATAAATACACGTCCTAAAGAGAGGACCACCTCAAGTTTAAATGTGTATTTGCCATTTGGCAACTGTTGTGTTGTTGAATATTATATATATGTTTCCCCTATCTTACACCTTCCATTTGTTGTTGATATTTTTGGACTCAACTGCCTAATTTGTCATTAAGCCCTTAAAAACCAAAACAAAACATTGTATTTGACTTTCATCATATCTATATATATCTATAATCTAGTGTTGTGCATATCTCAGTGCTAGTGAAAATGGTGAAGTGTAAAAAGCTATATGGAGAGGAACTTCCACTACTTCTCTCAGATCCTATAGTATTGGAGATTAATCATTTGCAAAACCAGTTCAAAGGTTATTTATTTCATTCCTTTATGTCTCTATGTTTTCATATTAACATGCTTTTGTTTTCATTCATTGACTTAGTGTAATCATTGTTACAGAAAAAGTTAAGGAGCTAATAACTTGCCAGAATGAAATCAAAGTATTCAAGGCAACTGAATCACTCAAGGATAAGGCCATGGAACAGGTACTTTAGAAAATATGGATTTTTTTACTATTCAATATTGTTCTATATTTTGGTACGCAACTGGAACTGCAATTTAAAATCATAGTATCCGGTAGAGGTACTAATATCGGCTACAATCCTCTTTCGCCAATTCCAGTTGAGAAATGAAGCTAGTAAACTTGATGAGAGATTTAGAGTTACAGAAGATCATCTTAAGCAAAAGGTGCATTGATTTTTGGTATATTAACTATTTCTTTGAAGTAGAAGCTATATTCAACGTTGGTAGAACCTAAAATGCTTTTTGTTTTTATTTTTCAAATTTTATTGCTATGCAGAATCTAGAAATTAAGAAACTGAGAGATGAAAAGAAAGAAGCATTGGCTGCACAATATGCAGCAGAAGCAACACTTAGAAGGGTACATGCAAATCAAAAGAATGAAGATTATGTTCCAATAGATAGTAGTTTCATTGCTACGGGCGCAACGGCTAACATTGTTCGCGATTACCAAAGACAGATTTCCGAATTGCAAGTAATTAGCATTCTTCTGAACTTAATGTTGGATATATTGACTGTGTATTTGGTTGATCTTATGTGGTAACTTGATTTTGCATGTAAATTTTTAGGATGAGAAAAGAACACTGGATAGGGAACTAGCAAGAGTAAAAGTTTCGGCTAATAGGATTGCAAATGTCATGACTAATGAGTGGAAGGATGAAAGTCATAAGGTCATGCCTCTTAGGCAATGGAAAGAAGAGAAAAGAATTATGCAGGTATGTATGAATTTCTATGAATTCTTCCCAACAATCTCACAAGTGTTTATGTTAATAGATAAGTTTAAATAAGTCAATCCAAACAAATCCTAAATGAAATTTCTCTGATCCATTATGTCTTTGCGCGTGTAGGCAGAGATGCAACGGTTGAAAGATAAGCTAGCTATATCAGAGAGAAGAGCTAAGGCGGAGTCACAACAGAAGGTATATATATATATATCTGACATATTAGTCTTTTATGTAAACACTTGATCAACTTTCAACATGTTATTTGGTGTTTACTTCAGGAAAAACTAAAAGTGAGGCTAAAAGCACTTGAGGAAGGTTTAAAACATTTTTCAAGTTACTCAACCACTTCAAATGTATTTTGTTGGTCTCCAAAAGCAGAAAGTCCTATGAAAATGAATTACACTTCTGCAGAAAGCATGTTGAACACAGACATGAGTTTAAATCACTTCAATAATAAAAGTGAAGTAGCAGAAAATGAAACCATTGTTGATTTGGATGAAGAAGACTTCCAAAGCAAGAAACCTAATGATTCAGGTAGTGACGATTTTGTTTCAGGTTTTCTATATGATAGGCTGCAAAAAGAGGTCATCAAATTGAGGAAGTCTTGTGAAACCAAAGATATTAGTTTGCAAGATAAAGATGAAGAAATTAAGGTATGTGCCAAACCTCCACAAACTACTTATCATCGATGATGTGTTCGGTGTCAGACACGTGTTAGTGTCTGAAACAAACACAACATCAGCACATATGTTACATTCAATTACTTTCATTTTCTTAAGGTATGTGTTAGTGCCGTATCTGGTATCTATGTTAACTATTCATTGTCTACAAGTAGGATCCTCCCGATATATCACAATTGAACTATTGGTATAATATATTGGTCCTTCAGATGTTGAGGAAGAAAGTTGACGCTCTGACTAAGGCCATGGAAGTGGAGTGGAAGAAAATGAAAAGAGAAGCAGCTGCTAGAGAAAAGGAGATTTCATCAATAAAGTCACCGGATGATAACAGGAAAAACAGAAATAGAAACTCCTCCAAAATGTACTATCACATTTTTTTGCAATGTGGTTGATACCTCTGAACTAACAAATTTGTTCTATTTGTCTTCAAACTATATTGTCATAACAATGTTATACAATTGTTGTAGGGCCATGAAAGAACGTTGACAAATCATTATTTGAAGATAGCCCAAGGCATTTCGTTTATCCATTGCTTCTTGTGATTTTTCCTTGTAAATATAAAACATTTGGAGCTCTGAAATTTGATTAAGTACAAAGAGAAGTGTTCAATATTTACCTGTAAATTTGTACAAAGGATAGTTTCTCAGTTTGTGAGTTTTATGCACTGTTTATGCTTTTCAAATGCATCATCACAGAATTGAAGACGAGTGTTCGAGCTTGCAGCAAAAATACGCGTGTGTGTAGCTTTCTTTTAAAGGGCAACTTGCTCAGTCTAAATTGCACCAACCATGAATTGTTAAGTCACTATTACTACAAAATAAAAAATCAAACTATTCGTAGTGCAGCGTACTAATGTTTAGTTTGGGGTTGGTTCATGAATTAAGACGAGGTATATACATTGTATGACAGTTATGGCCAAGTGAAACATAAATCAACCAAGCGCCGATATTGCTCGGGGTTGAACAGAAACTATCTGTTAATAAGCGAAAACGTGTTGAATAAACTTTAAATGTTATTAGTAAGCGGGGGTTTATTAATAAGGTAGTGGGAAAGTTAAAAATCAAATGTAATTGGAAGACTAAGAGATAGTGGGTTATAATAGTATTTACTAATAGCATTTACTTTTTCAGAATAGTAGAAGTCTTTGGGTCTATATAAAGACCAAGATTGTATTTTATTAAAACAACAAGTTATAAAAGTTTGCTCCTTAAGTCTAACAAATTAACATCAGAGCTAATGGCAAACATGATGAATCAAATTCCATTGTCACGGCTAACGAAGTCAAATTACGAAAACTGGAGTATCCAAATGAAAGCTCTTCTTGGATCTCTAGACGCGTGGGAGGTGATCAGAGATGGGTTTGAAGAACCAACAGAGGTTGCAGGACATACGTCAGCTCAAACTAAGGCGTTGAAAGAGACGCGGTCGATGGATAAAACGGTATTATACATGTTGTTCAGGGCTGTTGACGAATCAGGCTTCGAAAAGATTGTTGGTTCGACTACTTCGAAAGAAGCATGGGACATGTTAGAGAAAGTGTTCAAAGGAGCAGACCGAGTGAAGCAAGTTTGACTCCAAACTCTTCGTGGCGAATTGGAGAGGATGCAGATGAAGGAGACATAAATTATATCTGACTACATCACACGCGTACAAAAGGTGGTGAACCAACTCACCAGAAATGGCGAAATAGTAACTGATGCACGAGTTGTTGAAAAGATCTTGAGATCTTTAACAGATAAATTTGAGAATATTGTGTGTGCAATAGAAGAATCGAATGACCTTTCGACGCTCTCAGTCGAAGAGCTCGCTGGTTCTCTCGAAGCACATGAACAACGTAAGTTGAAAAAGAAGGAAGAAGCAGTTGAAGAAGAAAATCAAACCAAGGATTCGATCAAAGATGAAAAGATACTCTTTTCTCAAAACTTTCGAGGAAGAGGATATGGCCGTGGAGGTCGTGACAGTGGTCGAGGCAGTAACTTCGAGAGAGGACATTTGAACCAACAAAATTAGCGTGGCAGAGGACGTGGTCAAAGAGGTGGTCGATCGAACCACTCTGTTGTACCCCAAAATTTTCCCTCCCATATTCCTCAAGATTTGTCAAGATTGATTGTCAAATTGCTCAAGATGGCTCAAGAGGTAGACAGTCAAATCACCTCCTAAGCCAGCTGAAATTAGGGTTTTGGTTCTTTCAAGGAATTTATGGTTTTCAATGGTTCAATCAAGTCTCATAGGCCTATATACATTCTCAAGCACCTACATGCCAAGTTTCAAGACTCACAGTGCCAATTTGCACAGTCAAAAGCTCCATTTGATCTACAGTCAATTGCAAGGGCAAAATGGTCATTTTGCAGTCAAAAGTCAGAATTTTTGGTCAACATGTTATTTTGAGTTCACAATCATCATTTGATCAAGTCTTGACCAAGGCATAACTTTTTCATGGTTTGTCAGAAAAATTCTATCCAATTCTCATTTTGAAGGGGATGTAATTTCCTAAAATCCATCTACACACTCCAAGTTCAAGAAATGCTCTCACAAAAGTTACCAATTTTTACATTATAGGTCAAATTCAAAAGTCAACAAAAGTACACTTTGAGTCAAAGGCCATAACTTGAGATTGGTAAATTCAAATGACATGGGACCAAAGTCATTGGTTAGAGGACTTCAAGAGCTTTCCAAAATGTCCAAGAACATGGTCATATGATCAAAATTGAGCAAGTTGTGCATTGGAGAAGTTGGGAAATTTTCATGAATTTGCAAAAGTCAACTTTGCTCAAAACATCTTCCTTTTGCTAATGGGCCTCAAATCTCTTGTTGAAACTTCACCCATGACCTATGCACGACCCATCAAGATTAATTGGATTTATTTTCTTATTTTTATTGATTAATTAGATTTTTAATTAATATTAATCCATTTAATTAATTTAAATCATAAGAAAATACAAGATTTAGTTTTTAAATCTTTTTGTGAAGCAAATATGACCTAAACATGCTGGCAAATTCGTGCACAAGTTAAAGATACAAAAAAAATCCAAATTTGGCAACATGGTTCAATCATGAAAAATCAAGGATATTTGATTTTCAATCAAAGATTTAAACATCAATGCACATGGATTGGATCCAAAACTTTGACCTAATTTGTTTCCCTTGTATGCAAGCAAGCAAACCCTGACCTAGTGGACGATTGAGAGCTGCAGAAACAACCCTGTCATATTCAAGAAATTTCAAGAAAAGTGAAAACCTGTTCTTGCATTCTAGGTCGATTCAAGGCATTTTATTCATTCAAATACACTGCAAGAGGTACCAGGAACGTTTTGCAATCAAATTCAGGCATCAAAGCTTAAAGAATCACGATACACAGTCCCACGGTTTGCATTTTTGATCCATAATCGTATCTCTTAATTCATGCTCATTTAACATGTTTTTATGATGGTTTTGCATTGCTAGAGATCATATAAAGCTGATGGAATGATTTAATTGAACTGTAATGCCTTGAATCGTGAGATGCCATGATCAAATTTCTAGGGTTCTTGAGTTTTAAATTAGGGCTTTCTGAACCAGGGAAAATTGGGACCAGTGAGACACATGGTTGAGATCGTGAGACCAAGACGATCAAGACCCATACCTCGCGAAATATTTATATGTACGGTGGTTCTATTCGCTATTTTTCCTTGCAGGAAGTAGTGGGGGTTAAAAACCCCCGCTATTTGATATTATTTATGCAGGACAAACGAAGAAGACGATGAGGTGTTGATACCTGGTTGGCTAATTCAAAAAAGGCGCGCCTTATTTTTTGTGTTACAGCATAATATTTGTTTTTGTATATAATATTCATTATCTATTCCTTTAACAAAAGCGCGTTACAGTTCAGCTGGCAAAGGCATTGAAGCAATGAGCATTGGGACCTGGGTTCGAATCTCAGGTCCCCCAAAACATTTATTCCTTTTTTCTTTGTATGTTCCCATGCAGGTTTCAAAAGATGGTCCACTATGTACCTCAACACGCCGGGTGTCTCCAAGCCTGGATCCAGTGGTCAAAATTGAAGGACTATCATACTCCCTAGTCAGCGCATGCGTAGAAAAATCAGAAAGTCAAAAAGGCTAATGCATAGTGGGCCTTCAGAATTGCCAAAGACACCTCCTCTTGGGCCCATCACCCCCTGGGTTTATTCTTCTTTTTTCTTCTTTTATATTTTTCATTTAATTGTTTTATTATTAATTATTATTATTATTACATAATTAACCAAATTAATTTTTTCATAATAAAATCAGAAAACTAAAATATAGTTTTTTTTATTATTTATTAAAATTAATTTCACCCTTTTATTATTTTTGTAAATAAATGAATAACTAATTAATTTAGTTTTAATTAGGTTATTTTTTAACTTTTTTTCACAATAAATAAAATCAATGTAGAATTAGGGTTCTTGACAATTTTAATCATTTTATTTTATTTTTTATTTTATTTCCTTAAAAACATAAAAAAACTAAAAAAATATCTTTCTTTTATTTAATTAATTAATTAGTCTAGGTTTAATTTGATTTAAATGCAAAATAATAAAAAAATCTCCTTCTTTCTCAAAAAAGGGGTCAAAACCCTGAAAACACTCCGATTCAATTGTTTCTCGCGCATATTATTTTTTATTCCAATTATGTAATTGCTCCGATGATGTAATAGCTTTAATTAGGACTTTTTATCGCTTTCATTTAATTTCCCGCAATTTACTTTTCAAGGGTTTGTTTTTGGCGATGTAAATACTCGACGCCTTGTAATAGTTTAGCTTTATTTTCCGCAACTATTAACTGCTAGATGTATGCTAAATAGGCTATGCATGTCAAGATCTATGTGAAAATTAAAATCAATCGTAGCTCACCATAACATGTACAAAGATAACATAACTGAAACCTGACACACGTGCACATGCCACTCCTAGGGTACGCCTCACTTGGTTGCCTCAACGTGGTCATTGAGTATAGGGTGTTTTAGAGGTCGCTCTCCTGTCTAAAGATCAAAGTTGCCTCGAAACGGTTGCCTCGATAAAAAAATGATCTAAGACATTAGGGTTACCGCTAAGGCATCCTACCATTGCTTTAGTGACCACACGTCCCATAATCGAATTGACCCGAAAACTCCAACGACGGTGCTACCTACTCCTCAATAGTGGAATAGTACTGTCTAAAGGATATTTACACAGCTTAATTTCTTTTGAGTAGGTAGAGGTTCTTGGGTACTTTCTCTTTCAAAACAAAAATACTTTTCGCACCTACACTTTTCTGACAAAAGTTTTCAAACAACACTTCATACACTCTTGAGGACAGACACAAGAGTTAAATCGAAGTTTTCAAACAAACTTTTTCAAAACCCACAAACACAAGAAAAGCAAAACTTTTTGAAAACATAGTGAGCAAGTACCTAAGAGCCCGTGGATAATCACGGATAGAAAGGGTGCTAACACCTTCCCTTTCTATAATCTACCTCCCGAACCCGAG